AGGTTCTGTGATATCCCACCACCATGGGCGCGTTTGCGCCGCCCGGCTTTGGTCGCAGCTGGAGATTTTCAGACGAGATGAATGGGTGAGATTTTGGATTTTTTTGGAAGGATTTAACCATCATTCACCATCAACAATGATGGTTTAAAGTTGAATGGAAGTTTCGTGCGGGTTTGACGGTTGTACTATCGTGGACCAAGCCCACCGATTCGATGGGGAAACTTCCGATTCGATTCCATGTATCATGGGATATCATTGGTAGCCTCTGGTAAACATACAAAAAACTATTGAAAATGGCCATAGAAATAGTTGATTTACCCATTAAAAATGGTGATTTCCAATAGTTTTGTTAAATTACCAGAGGGTAATACAATGGATGAACCAAGACCCCAATTGACATCAATTGACTATATTTACACGACATACTAGACCGTGATTCTATGGCAGTGGGTCAACTATTTTATGCCTCCCAAAATGTTTGTTGGTTCAATACTTCAGTTGGATATGTTTTGGGATTGAAGTTACAGTAAACGCTGGGTCCATTCAACAGCATGTTCTGCTAACATTTGATTTCTAGATATTTCTAGTGCATTGTTTAGATTATGTGCCGAAAAGTGATTTGTTCTATCCATGATGTGTTAAGATCCTCATGAATTGTTTTTTTCACCGGTTCGGCAGGCCACCGATGTTTCGCATGTGACTCGCAAAGTGCCCATTGATGGCTGGGCTGAAGTTGACCATTAAAGAATATTTGGTAAAATTTAGGCGGGTTGTTCCATCAGTACTCTGGCAAACCATTCAAAAAGGACAAAGCAAATCATCAGCCCCTATCTATTTCAAGTCAACGTTTATCAAAGATAGGCACGATATGGTAAGACTGGGGTTGTTTGTGTTTCGTACCGCAAATGACGTCACTATCACTTTTGGTTGATCCCCAGTGCGGCCATGTCCTTGATTTTCGAGGCAATAGCATGTTGTTGTTGGTTCAAAATGTATGCAATAGATATCTCTGATATGATATTTCTATTATGATTGGCAAAAATCCGTATGTCTTCCTACTTACTCATGGTTGCATCCCCACTTAACCAACAAACAGTTATTCTTGATGGGTTGAATCCTTCGTTTTGATGGTTAAATCTCCATTTTGCCTCATGAAAATCGAATTGCTGGTGAAATCCCCCCCCCATGTTTCTTGTGGAACTTCCCCATCAATTTGTCTCATTTTCAATTCCCAAAATTCTGGTGAACCTTTGTGGCAGGAAGACTTCGATCTCTTGGAGTCCTTAGGCGTGGGTGGTTTCGGTGAAGTCTTTCGTGCGCAGCGCAAGCAGGACCATGGATTCAGGGAGGGACATGGGATCTAATCGGGACTAATGGGAAATCATTGAAATCATGGTATATCTAATCTATCTCTCATATTATACTTATAATATATACATACGGTGACATGTATATATAATATATAGTCATCTGGATGAATTTGATCATGACCTCACGTCCAAAAAAGAAAACTGGAATGATGAATGTGAGGGGAATCATCCCCAAGTGGCCGTATGATAACAGCTATTGTTAGATTTATGAATTGCTATAATTCAGCCAAAACACAACCAATCATCAAGAATCATGAATGGGCTATTGAATGGCTGGTACATTAAGAAAAGATTCCGGAGGTACCCCTGAGTTACTGGAATCGTTTTTGGGTATTCGCTTGTGATTAGCATAAAATTGCAATTAATTGGGATATATTTGGAAATCATGGGATACCCTTCGGGAATCAAGGATTGCTTGTAAATGGACCATTTTCCCTTGCCATGTTTGATTACAGCAGGGTATAGCAACCAACAATAGATATTCAGGCTTGTCCTGAAATGGGTACGGGACCCCAATTTAAATTTATGACTAATCCCTTCCCCCTAATATTAAAGACCCCCCCAGAAACCATGATTTCGTAGAGGATTTCCACATATAGAATTGGGACATATTGGGACCATTTAGGGAGTGTTTAATCTCAGGGGGGATGGGAAAGTGGGTAGCATTCCCCATTCACAGTTATATAGGACCACATATGAAAACATACACTATTCTAAGGGGTACATAACCCCCATTATTTTGATCTTACCTGAGCACCTGGCCCTGGCCGGGCATTGGTTCAGGCTCATAGATGGACAGATGTGGACAAGTTTGGGTGCAATGTTTAAGCCATAGAACTGAGCTGGAACAATGGCAATAAACAACATGCCAGCTGGAATCTTTAGATTACTGTATATCTATATACATCACTTGGAATTGGGTCTTTGATCATGGGTGTTTTGACTTCTTCACAACGTGATTAAAACAATGATGTGTTTTCTTTGGAGGACCTATCATCATCCTAGGGCAAACCACCAGTTTTAAGAGGTACACGATCTATAGACGGAGCATTTTCCACAGTTAGTGGAGGCTATCCCATCATTTGATGAATCCCTATTGTATCCCGTGTTTTATGCCATCATCCCAGCAAATATCCCCAACGTTGACCATGAAACAGAGCCATGTGACCTTTCATCATTATAATATATATATATTATATATCTATATATATACTGGCTGGTAGTTTTAAACATTTTTTATTTTCCATAATAGATGGGATAATCATTCCCATTGACTTTCATATTTTCAAGATGGTTATTGCACCACCAACCAGTATAACGTCCACAGGACGGCCACATTTGTGCCATCAAATCCGTTGATTTGGAAAAGACCGACCCCGAGGCGGGTCGTCGACTGTCGTCTTTGTCGTCGACAGAAAAGGCGTCCAACTCACTTAAGCTTCGCCTTGAAAAAGGCGAAGGAATGTGTCTTACCTCATATACCCTCTGATTATTTAACATAGCCATGGAAAATCACCATTCTTAATAGGTAAACCATCTATAAATGGGTCATTTTCCATGGCTATGTTAAATAACCAGAGGGTATCTAGTCTTTCGCCTTTATATAGGGTTACCTCATATAGATTATATAGTCTCGTCCTGGTTCTTACCTCATATAGATTATATAGGGTTACCCAGTGGTCGAACAAGATTGGATAGTTTTGCCATATTTTGACATCAAACATGACTAGTTAAATTGTTTAGTCCAAAGTCTTGGAAAGTTATACTTTCACCTGAACCCATGCATAGTTGAGTCTGGAGAAGGACTGTTTCTTACTTTGTGTTTTGTGAGAGTTTGCACTTAAATTTGAATTGGCCTCATCAAATGTAATCCGTAATCCTGAGCCAGATTGCGGATTACAAAGTTTCGGATTATATGGTCTTATTAGAATAACAACATATACAACTAAATCTCCTATAGTAGCTATATTTAAAATATCATGCAAACTTAAATTTTGTTTTAGATTATTTTGCTTACATATTAATATAGCATTTGATATAGTAATCACTTCTTTTAAAGTTCTTGTTATAATAGTACCTTGAGCATTTTGACTATTATATATATACATATATATATATTAGCAGATGCACCACATAAAATAACTGCTATATTTTTTAATGCACCCAGCAAATTGAACATGCACCACTGCTTGAGTTGGACTAAAAAACAATGGTCTTTACGGATTATATACGGATTAAAAGCCACAACGCCTGGAAAGGATGATGACCAGCATGCTGATTTGAAGAAGTTTTCTTGGGTTTTCTTTTGTGAGTGTGGTGTTTGGATTTGTTTTTGCAATCTTTCAGATCACCCGTGTTTTGGTTTTGCTTCGCGCAATCCCCAAAAGTTGAAATTCCCGTGATTTACGTCTTCGGGGGTTGTTACTGGTACCTGTGTCACTGTGTTCCGGACGCAAATGAAATAGATATTATTAGATATTCATAGATGCAGGGAAATGAGGAATCCAGTGTATAACCACAGTTGCCAACCATAACACCCAAAAGCTGGAAATTCACCAAGTTTGCCTTTTTGGGGCGTTGTGGGGCCTACCTCACAGCTCGCCAAACCACAACCCCCGAAAAAGTCAGAAATTTCACAGATTTAGGGTCATTGAGGAGACCATGCGCGCCACCAAAACTACAGCCGCCAACAAACTGCCAACAAACTGCCAACAAACCCAGGAGGCTGGAGATTCCCAAGTTTTTGATTTTCAGGGGTTGTGAAGAGTTTACGACTTATTAGGATTAAACCCCTTTTTCGGATTAGCACCTCTATGGATCAGGTTGGCGTGCAGACTTTGATGACCTGGACATGATACAGTAGACATGTGCCAAACAGCATGAAGACAAAGAAATAAGGATGGTAATTGTGCAACGCACACATCCCAACGTTGCTTAAATAGTTCAGCTGAACCAGGGCCACAGCTCACTTACAGACGCCATTGACATTCCCAGTTTGGGTGGAATCTCCACTTTTGATCAATCGTGTTGGACATATTGGACATGTTTTTCTATCCCATAATGTGGTAAACAATGGTAAACGGTAAACCCAATAGTAATAAATGCCTAATGATGATATGCATAGCATATCCCATACAATCCCATATATAATCCTGCCGCATTCTTATACCCGCTAATTGGTATATTTACCAATTGGTTTTGGTGGTTTTTCCCAGGTTGTTTCCCGGAAAAGAAACCAGGGGTGAACCTGAGGTTTTCCAGATTGAGCTGGATCAGGCGGGACTGTAATTTCTTGTACTTTGCTATGGAGAATCGACATGTTTTATAAACTAATGGGAGGGTACATGAATGTAAATGGTCATTTATAGACATCCATACAATATATATATATAGTATAGTGTTATCCCATGAATGAATATGTGAAATAACATTATGGAACACAACCACGTGGATCGATGAGTTAGCTATCAAAAACATTATATAAACACCTGTGCTTTACCAGAAGGTATATAGGTATATTGTCTACACAGCCATTTCCCATGGCTATGTGAAATTATCATGTTTAACAATGGAACATAGTGGTTAACAATGAACAAATACTGACATCTTGTGAAACATTGCGATTGTCGTGATGAATAGTGGTCGATGGTGATCAATGATGGTTAATTCATGATAATCAACATGGGATTATAAGTAAGATGGGATTATATGAGATTATTGGATTAATACTAGATAATATACCGCATTAATGATGATTTAGTTTCTAATTATGTTGGTCAATTAGTAACAATGCAGGATACGTCATCATGCTTCATGATGGGTATTTATTGCACATTATCGTTAAACATGGTGATCAGTACCTAGGAGACACATACAAAAACCGGCCACCACATATGATTCAAAGACAGTTAGTGAACACCTTTGCATCCAGTTTGCGAGGTTTGGTTTGCTTTTTTGTGTTTTGTTGGAACATATGCTATTCTGACTGTGATCGTCATTGGCCAAGTTACTGGTTCTTGCTTTGTTATTGTTTTCTGCAATAAATCTCTTTTGCTTGAGTCCCTGGAAAGCAATACTTCTATGGAGCCGGAGACTTTGGCCCCAGAAAGTATTTAGACTCAGACGTGCACATGGCTTGGCTTATCCAGAAGACCCCACAGGAACCAGATACAATTACGGCAGGGGGCGTTTCTAAACCCTTGTGAATATCCCACATGTCTCAAATAATCTCAAATAGGTTTGTTTGAAACTTCGAGAAAAGAAGGCACCAGAATCGAGAGGGTGTTCAAACCACAACTGAATTCTTTTTACAGTAACTCCTAAAACCAATGGTTTCATTTTTGTTTGGGTTTAAAGTTTAAAGAAAAGCACCATTTTCGCACAGCAACAAACGTCTGGACTCCTCTTGGGTACAAAATTACGACCTATCTCGCGAATCCCTTGGTACCCGTTGAGCCATTCAGTTTGTCTTAAAATGACCCCAGATCAACAGATCGATAGGTGTCAAATCCGACAACAGTGGCACCAAACAAATGATAAAAATATATAAAATGGGGTTCCTAAAGTTACTAATTATACCATACTATACCCTCTCTCAATGGGCGCCTCTTGGTCGAGGCTCGTCAGCTGAAACATCCCAACGTGGTTCGACTCCTCACCGCCTATCGAGATGATTCTCAGCAGGTTATCTTTGATTTATGGTGAACACAAGGGCGAAAATGAGTTAGTTGTTTAAAGCTACAGAATCGTGGATAAATTGGATTCATTTGGATTCGCCAAATTTTCGGAGAGCCTTCTGAAACATTGTTTTGGACAGTACCAGAGCGAGAGAGAGAGAGAGAGATGATTGTGTTTGGGCACATGGCCATGTGGCTGAAGAAAGATGAACAGAAAAAAAAACGAATGGTATATGGCCGAACCAGTGAAGTTGCCAACTTTAGGACACCTATTTTGGGGTGTCCTATGTCATAGGGGTATCCCAAATCATCCAACATTAGACCATTTCAGTCTTAAAACCCATTGGAAACCATCATTTTGGACGTGGTGTACCAAAGCAATCCCAACCAAGGCTGACACGGTAGACACGGTATATAATATTATATAATTATAATGCTTAATTTGTAATTGAATATCATGATAATAAAAATGGATAACAGGGAAACATATCAGGGGATCCCAGACGGTTCAAGATCCAGTTCTTCGCGTTTTAGTGGTTGCTTTGGTGACATTTCAGATCTTTGGTGGCAGAGGTGTATTCACCCAGAGGAGGGTCACCTTTATTGATAGGTGGCATAACACCTTTCATGAATATACCTGTCAACTGACCGTTTGGTGATGTCTGGTGTTTCAGATGAGCGGTGGCCGAAACCTTATCATCTTTCAAGTTCAATCCCAGCTGTTTCAGCAGTGATTAACAATCGTACTCCCTCATGGTAATCGGGTCCACCAAGCAGTAGAACGGCTCCGCAAAATGTTATGATTCCTCCGGAAAAAAAAAACGTTTAAATCCTCGAATCAATGCCAGTTGAACTATCTTGAAATTCCATGTTCAGATGCGTCAAAGCAAAGGCAAGCGCTGCGAGCTGAGGAAACCGCCTTCTGGCTTGTGATGGAGCTCTACCCAGGTTACATCGGAATCACTCTGAGAACACCTGGGTAACAAAGTTTGGCCCTTTACTTGATGGACAGTCCTAAAAGTTCAGATTTTGTTGGATACAATCATGGATTGAAGAAAGGTAATCTATATATATATATATTAAACTCCTTGGATTCGGAAGCGAAAACAGACACTCCAGGGTCATTGAATCCACCAAATTTCGTTCCACGTTATAATTCCATCATCCAGAAGTTGTGGTGGCGTCTCATCTCAACGAAGATTACCCTTTTCGATGTACTCCTGCAATGGCTGATTTTCTGAGGCATACCGCATACCGCACAGGTGAACCCAGATACCCACTACACATTCTACTCCCAGTAGATGTTAGCCTTCTGACTTTCAAATCTGCATACCCATATGCTCCATGTATGGTATATTTACCTACATTCATTTGGGCGATTATTAGGGCAAATGTAAGTAAATATTCCATACATGGAGCAGGATGTGGTCAATCCACTTGGGGTCCGACGATGTGCTGGTGGTTTGGTCAGGTGGTGATTTGACGGGTGAGATCTTGAAGAACAACTTCCGACGTGACGAGGCTGGGGGGATGTTCCAACTTCTTTATCAGATCCCAACTGACATCAAGCGACCAACGGTTTGGAGATGGCTGCGGCCAGGTTTTCAATCAGTACCCCAGATACGGCCAGATGTTCAGCAATACTTACTGTCACTTGACACACCTGTGAGATGGGGACGTCCCAATTAGTGGCATATCCAAACATCACTTGTGGCTGAGAAGCGCCGACGTCCACCACGTGTCCAAACATGGAAAAACACTGTGTGTTGTGGGACAAAATGCACATGTCCATGATCACGGCTTTCATCTTGCAGCGCACAGCTTAGCAACCTGTTCATTCAATGTTACACCACCGCCACCACCACCACCACCATCATCATCATCATCATCATCAGCAGCATCACCATCACCATCACCATCACCATCACCATCACCATCATCATCATCATCATCATCATCATCACCATCACCATCACCATCATCATCATCATCATCATCATCATCATCATCATCATCGCCATCACCAGCACCATCACCATCATCATCATCATCATCATGAATATTACTTTGAATATACAGTTTAACGGGGATCGGGATGGGGATTTAATGAGTATTTAATGATTCCCTAGAAAATTACCTTGAATATAAAGTTTAACGAGGTGGGGATTTGATGATTTCCGAGAAACTCTGTCGAAACATCTTGAAGTCAATATCCCTCTTCAATGTACTTGGAAACCGTGCAAATATTGTGTGGGCGAAAGGGGGGGTTGCGCGTAGTACTACAGTACCTCGCCAAGCCAAAAGGTTGCTGTTTGACAGAGGACATGTAGAGAAACCTGTCACACCCTGCCACCAATTTTGTTGGTCAAATAAACAATTGTTTGTTTGGGTTTGGGTGGCTAGTTGCCTAGAGTAAATTATAGTAAATCGCCTTTTTTGAGTGCTGTTCATCCATGGTATGTTCATGCTCCGTCCCACCAGCAGAGTGGCTTCTGGGTGGTCGGCATTCCGCCCCAGAGCTGCAGGAAGGGTTACAGTAGTTTTATGATGTTTTACACACATACACACACCAGTTCATAAAGTACATGGCATTATAAATCCAGTGCATTTTTGATTTATTTGTATACTACTCAAACATTTCTCAGGAAGCATGACACATCATGAAGCATGGTAGGCGAACGAACCTGGTTTGAGACTTAGACTTGAAAGAGACCCTCCAAACAAACACTCCTGTGATATCCTGTGGTGGTGTTCAAGTATGTCAGTGAGGTTTTGGTTTCACCTCCACCAGTACCATAGATGATGACGATGATGACTGCAATGCACAATATTTTTTAGGATGGCTTGAAAGCACACCCATTTCCTGTTCGGGTGGGATTTGACTCGTCTCCCAAAAGCAGACCTTCATGTTTCATGACTAGGAAACCAATCGCGCCCAAATCCACACTGGCGCTGAATTCCAAAAATGGAACCATATGGAACCTCCAATGTGGGTCTGTCATTTGGATTCATGACTGGGCTTTTCCCGTGGCAATCTGTCAAACAAACATATTGAACATTTGAACATGATGTTTTCATGTTTCCCCAGATCGCCAGACACCAGATCGCGATACCAAGGGATCATCGTTTGGCACGCTATGCATATCAGATCTTTTCGGGACTGGCCTATCTTCATTACCACAAGATCGTCCACCGGGACATGGCTGCAGGGTGGGAATTGATTGTGCCATTGTGCATGTTGGGCGGTACCACAATGCCAACCTCAGGCAAACCAAGATACTTTAGCGGAAATCCATGTAAATCCATTTCTTCAAGTTGCTTTCTTATACCATAGATTACCATAGCTTTAGAGATAAGGTTCACAACCCAGTTTGTTTGAACATAGGCTACCCCAATATCCCATGTCATTTTCATGCATGTTTTATATAATTCATTCAATTCATTCTGGCGATTTGCGACCGGGGTATCCATGGCCCGTTTTTGGTTGAACAGCTCATGCTGCAGGACATCAAACCGGAAAATTTTATGCGCACCACGCAGCCGGGATGCAGTGGTTCTGGTCACGATAACGATTTGTTGATTACTGAGACGAGCGAAACAAACCACCGAACAAATATATATATATATTTATGTATATATATGTATATTATTATGTATATATATATTATATGAGCATTCAATGTTTTTCGAGTTACAAATCAGTGAAAATCATGTTTTGTAATGATATTAACATACAATGAGGTAGTAATAACTATAATAATCTATATAAGATTTATAAGCCTCAAATATTTAATAGCCTAAATCTGTAGTATGATTTGTTACTCACAAGGCGTCTAGTTACCGTACCTGTAGATTCAATATTTGTAAGGACTTGATGATGAAATGTCCTGAACGCTTTGGGATCAACTTCTCCATACATATATATATATAATAAGCAGTCGGGCCGGAACAGTTGGGAAACCATGAAGAAATTGGGTGGAATTGTGAGAAAAGGAGCTGGAACCGTGAGAAAAAGGGTGGAACTGTGAGAAGAGCTTTGCGCGCTTGTCAGCCGCATGATTTTGGTTGCCTCAGGGTTTGAATTAGGCCGTCATCAAAAGGAATCATAGTTTCTGTCATGGTTCCTATGTATGGTTCCTCGCCACATGCATGGTTCCTGTGGAACCAGATGCAAGGGCCCAGTTGCATATGAGACAGGCCCCTAGGAGCCCTTGGAGGTACTGGGTATGGTTTTTCTATCCTTTTCTCTGTTTATGGCATGATACACTTATATACAGTTATCAAGTTACAGGGTAATAATCCCCTGAAAGTGGATGGGCAGAAATCATCAATGGAGGATCTTTCCCATACTGTAGCCGCTGTAGCCATTGATTTCCTGCGCAGAGATTCCCTGCCAAGGCCTGACGAAAGGGAGTCTCAACTGGTCCTGATTGATTTGGGCGTCTCAGCCAATCTGAAGGTCACACCCATCCTGAATGAGGTCCGTGAAAACTGTGGTTTCCTGCAGGGAAAACCCCCGATTTTTTTTCTAACATCTGGGAGAGAACGCAGGCAGAAGCCCTTGGAGGACCGTAGAGGTGTCACTAAGAAAGTTGGGGGGGTCCATACCCCAATAGCTAGATGGTTAATGGAAAATCCATGAGAATCCTAACATGAAAAATCCATAACTTGGGGTACCCCCATGACTTAGGAAACATTCCAATGAAATCAGCAGGTTAGCAGAGTTCGAGCCTTCTGGCCAGATGCAAGGGCCTAGGTTTTAGGGTCTCCAGCGTTCTTTTTTTCATAGGGACCAAATGGATCCAAGTGGATTCAAATGGAATATCAATAATATTCTTCCATATACATAATCATTTTTCATTTGGGGCATCCACAATTGTGTATAGGTTTTATATAATTGTTTTGAATCTAAGTTCCCAAGACCGGATGAAGGGGGAAAGACACACGGGACCCCACCCACAAGATCCTACAAGTACAGGGACATGGTTTCCTGAAACATGTTTTCCTTTTCTCACGCCCCAAAACAATCTTCCGACAGTCTCCATTTCCAGGGTCACGAGCTTTCTTGGACAGTTACAAAGTGGTTAACAACCATACTACAACAATAATGATATGTGGGATGTACCCCCAGTTAGACGAATGGGTCATTATTAGCATTTATTCGCCACTCAATTTGATTACTACCCTATTCATGGCATGTTATGGATAATTGTTCACCCCTTGATGAGCCAGTTTGAATTTATGTGGCATCCACTTGATTCCCAAACTTGTTTTGAAAACCCAATTAGATGTGGACGGACCCAATATGGGTCATTATATTCATGCAATTAGTTATATAGTTTATTATAATTTATGCATTATATTTATGTTAATGTTACGAACCACTGAGAATTCCCTTCAATGACTATTTTCAGCGATTCCCATGGGATAACAATAACAATATATGATTATATAATAACCATGATGATTATCCTTGATCTATGTGAAACGGAGAAATCACCCTAGTCTTCACCCGTGACCGCGTGACCGGAGACTGTCGGCACCTTGACGACCATTGCACCTGAGCTCTTCTTGGGCGACTACGATGAGTCACTGGGTTCAAGGGGGAATCAAGATAGGACTCATGGGTATGATAGGGAAAACGCGAAAAATAACGTTGGAACATAGACATTTACTGATTTACTGTCTGAACAACATATAAGTGCAATGAGTATCTATTTTTAATGGTGCATGATCTGTTTGTTTTTGGGTCAGCTTGACAAGTGTTGTGATGGTGGAAATATGATCCGTTGGAATCGGGCGTGCACCATTCTCGGACAAACCAACATTTCAGAGATACGGACATGTCAGTAAGCCTGCAATAAACATAGGGACTGTAACAGATGTCACGAAAGGTGGCAATACACCAACGAAAATGAATCAGACACCAGCAGCCAGCTCGGATTCAGCGACTTTGTGGCAGAAATTAATGGAAGCCATGGGTAGCCGGGTATCAAACATGATCAAACATGGCTTGTTGGAGAATCCCCCGTGGCTCATCGAACGCTCGAGTTTTCACGGCTGACCTCACAGGAAGTGCGACCTTTGGAGTGTTGGAATGACTCTCTACATGTGCGCGGTTTGCATCTGTGCTGAAATGGTTTGGGAACTGGGATGAGATCCAAGTTATCAAGTTGAGGAAACATGAGGAAATTATATGAAATCATGACCGTTTTTTGAAATCGTTATAACGTTTCATTGTTTGTCATTGGTTCACAGCTCCATTTCTGCTGGTTAAACTTAAACATCCTGCTTTGAAATCCTCAGGTTTGGTTTGGAGTCTTGTTGAATGAATTATCCATTGGTATAGCCCCCCACCGTGCAACTGTGACCGCCTGCATTTCCAGTTCACTCGGTTTAGTATATACTGGTTCCGCACCAACCTTCACCTGTTGCAGCATTGGGGTGTACCCAAGTCATGGCCGATCGACCATCGATTTGACAACATGCTTGGTATGTGAACAGCAGGGTAGCACGGGGTCCCCCACATTTATCCAATTGGATCTGGGTAAAAACACAATAGACCAATTTGTTTATCATTTGTTTGAGTACGGCCATTTTGACCTGTACTCATTTCTTGCTCGTATCGGCCAATTTCAGTTGGCTCTTTATACTATATTATATGTTTATTATAGTCCCTTCTAACTGGTCGCAAGTCACTAGTTGCAACTAGTTGCTATCTCCACCTTTGGATGTGTGTGACCCATCCTGCTCAACCATAAGGTGGTTAAGGGTCCCCAAGCGATCCCGTTTGTTTTCCCACAGATAATTGACCCCAAGGTGTAAGGTTTTGACCGGTGTAAGGACATGGTGCAGTGTGATGACAGCAAGGTGTAAGGGCATTGGTGTTGACCCGAGTAAGGACATTGGTTCTGTAAACTGCAGCTGCAAGGTGCAAGGTGTTGACGGGTTGCAGTTTCAAAGTTTATGCCGGACCTGGTTTCTTCAAATGGATTCTGGCAGGTGCTGTAAAACAACAGCTGCAAGGCAGCTGTGAAGTTTCTGCAGCACATAATTTCTTGAGAGTTCTGGCAGGTGCTTAGCCCAAAAGCTTGCTGGACAAGCAGGTGTTTTAAAAGCTGCGGAGGCTGCTATGGTGACTGCTGCTCCTGAAAGATTTGAGTCTTATGTGGGTGGCTGCAGGAAAGTTCACCAGGAACAAAGTCACTCTTTGCCTGGTGAGTTAAGAGGAAAAAAGTGGCAAGGACATGGCTGTGATTTCCATTGCGAAAACAAAGTCCGAATGGCAAGCACGTGCTGGCACCAAGGGACACCACACCAGGTGCTATGATTTGGTGTCATGTCAAGGCTTTGTTTTTTTGTTGCCTCCTGGTGGGCCAAGGGCTGGCAACCCCACCTGGTATGTAATGTATGGTATGGCATGGTATGGTACGTATGTATGTGTATGTATGTGTTTATTTGTTTTTTCAATAAATATATTATATTTTTATATTATATATTAAATATATGTACGTGTATCTCTATATATATATATATAGACATATGTATATATATATTGTAAATATATGTATATGTATAGGTAAAGGTGTCTTTTAAATATGCATAGGTACGCTCTTAGTATACAATTTGCATACAATGAGTGATAAATCATATGTCAGGTGTGCTATAGGCAGCACGTAAACAGGTTTTGGGTAGACATATACAGCCAGATAGGGGGGGACCATACCATGGGGGGACTGTGAGGATCCTGGGACATGGCTTACACATATATATATATATAATAAATACATATAATATGCATATATATATATATGTATACATACATACACATTTATCGACCAAATTAGAGCGAGCCCAGCTGTAGGGCCGGTAGGCTTTGTAGATTTAACGAGCCCAGCGCCGAGGTGCCGTTTTCGGAATGGTTGTAACGAAGGTAAGAGCTTTGGAAGATGCCCAAAAAAAGAGGAGAGTCCCAGAGTCCAAACAGTTTTTTTTTTTCCAGGGTACCTCTCCCAGGTGACGGTTTCAAGATATTGTTTGTCAGGCGGGTCTTCTCGTTCTCCTTCTCCTTCTTCCTTTTCTTCTTTTCTCCTCGTCGTCTCGTGATGGCGGTGCACTTACAAAGTATGTGCCTGCGGGGATCAGTCGAAGGAAGTCATCACCTTGCAGTCATCACTTGAAGGAGGTCGTCACCTGCCCAAGAAGTAAAAAAACAACTGCCCGCGAGGTAGCCTAATTGAATTCCAAATAACGAGGCACGTTATTCATTTGCAAACTGGATCTAACGAGCCGAACTGTTACAGCCACCGAGAGACTCAAGCGACGAGGTCGATGAGCTAAAAAATAAGGTAATTTGCCCATATGTATGTATATATGTATGTATATAAATGTACTGTATATGTAATATATATAATTGTGGTACATTAGTTTGTCTATACATATGCATACATTCATGTATATATATATATACAAACATGTTTATATCATCCATTTTTTTAAGCCCAGGTATGGAACCCTGGCAGAATGCAAAAGGGCACATGAGTGAAGAAGAGATGCAAGCGTGTCACCTGGCGAAGCTGAGCCCCGGTCCGTTTTTTTTTCAAGGATTTTCACATGGCTTTAATATCATGATCCACCAGCCAGGAGTTTAAGATGGTTCTAACCTTTTTCCCGAGAGCGTCTGAGCGCAGGGTTCTTCCAATAGTGGGGGTCTGTATCTCATCTTCTCATCTTCACACCTTCTCTCACACCTTCTCATCTTCACATCTTCTCATCTTCACACCTTCTCATCTTCACATCTGCTCATCTTCACATCTGCTCATCTTCACATCTTCTCATCTTCACATCTGCTCATCTTCACATCTTCACATACTCACATCTTCACTTTCTCTCTCTCGCACTCACATCTTCACATACTCACATCTTCTCTCTCTCTCTCTATCTCTCTCTCTCCTCTTTCCTCTCTCCTTTCTCTCTCTCCTTTCTCTCTCCCTTTTCTCTCTCTCGCCTTCTTTATCTTTCTCTCTTTAGGCCGAGGGTGGTGCCGGCGGGGAGTCACGAAACGTCAACCCTTTCGCATGAAATGAGGGTCGATCGTCAAAAACTGAGGAAAAATTGCGATTTTACTTGTCCTGGAGCAACCCTTTCGCAAGAACTGAGGGTCGATCGTCAAAAACTGAGAAAAAGTTGCGATTTTACTTGTGCCGGAGCAACCCTTTCGCACGAGGGTCGATGCGCAAAAACTAAGGAAAAATTGCGATTTTACTTGTCCCCGAGCAACCCTTTCGCACGAAATGAGGGTCGATCGTCAAAAACTGAGGAAAAATTGCGATTTTACTTGTGCCGGAGCAACCCTTTCGCACGAAATGAGGGTCGATCGTCAAAAACTGAGGTAAAATTGCGATTTTACTTGTGCCGGACTTGTCTGTGTGTAAAAGCGCCTGTGTGTAAAAAGCGTCTGTGTGTAAAAGCATCTGTGTGTAAAAGCGTCTGTGTGTAAAAGTGTCTGTGTGTAAAAGCGTCTGTGTGTAAAAGCGTCTGTGTGTAAAAGCGTCTGTGTGTAAAAGCGCCTGTGTGTAAAAGCTTCTGTGTGTAAAAGCCTCTGTGTGTAAAAGCCTCTGTGTGTAAAGGAGTCTGTGTGTAAAAGCTTCTGTGTGTAAAAGCGTCTGTGTGTAAAAGCGTCTGTGTGTAAAGGAGTCTGTGTGTAAAAGCGTCTGTGTGTAAAAGCGTCTGTGTGTAAAATCGTCTGTGTGTAAAAGCGTCTGTGTGTAAAATCGTCTGTGTGTAAAAGCGTCTGTGTGTAAAAGCGTCTGTGTGTAAAAGCCTCTGTGTGTAAAAAAGTGTTTGTGTGTAAAAGTGTTTGTGTGTAAAAGCCTCTGTGTGTAAAGGCGTCTGTGTGTAAAAGCGTCTGTGTGTAAAAGCGTCTGTGTGTAAAAGCGTCTGTGTGTAAATGCGTCTGTGTGTCAAAGCGTCTGTGTGTAAAAACATCTGTGTGTAAAGGCGTCTGTGTGTAAAAGCGTCTGTGTTAAAAGCTTCTGTGTGTAAAAGTGTTTGTATGTAAAAGTGTCTGTGTGTACAAGCTTCTGTGTGTAAAAGCGTCTGTGTGTAAAAGCGTCTGTGTGTAAAAGCGTCTGTGTGTAAAAGCGTCTGTGCACAAAAGCGTCTGTGTGTAAAAGCTTCTGTGTGTAAAAGCGTCTGTGTGTAAAAATCTCTATGTGTAAAAGCCCCTGTGTGTAAAAGTCTCTGTGTGTAAAAGTGTTTGTGTGTAAAATCGTCTGTGTAAGAGCGTCTGTGTGTAAAAATCTCTATGTATAAAATTCCCTGTGTGTAAAAGTCTCTGTGTGTAAAAGTGTTTGTGTGTAAAATCGTCTGCGGGTAAAAGCCTCTGTGTGTAAAAGTCTCTGTGTGTAAAAGCCTCTGTGTGTAAAAGCGTCTGTGTGTAAAAGCGTCTGTGTGTAAAAGCGTCTGTGTGTAAAAGCGCCTGTGTGTAAAATCGTCTGTGTGTAAAAGTCTCTGTGTGCAAAAGCGTCTGTGTGTAAAAGCGTCTGTGTGTAAAAGCGTCTGTGTGTAAAAGCGTCTGTGTGTAAAAGCGTCTATGTGTAAAAGCGTCTGTGTGTAAAAGCGTCTGTGTGTAAAAGCGTCTGTGTGTAAAAGCGTCTGTGTGTAAAAGCGGCTGTGTGTAAAAGCGTCTGTGTGTAAAAGCGTCTGTGTGTAAAAGCGTCTGTGTGTAAAAGCGTCTGTGTGTAAAAGCGTCTGTGTGTAAAAGCGTCTGTGTGTAAAAGAGCCTGTGTGTAAAAAGCGTCTGTGTGTAAAAGCGTCTGTGTGTAAAAGCGTCTGTGTGTAAAAGCGTCTGTCTGTAAAAGCTTCTGTGTGTAAAAGCTTCTGTGTGTAAAAGCGTCTGTGTGTGTAAAAGTCCCTGTGTCTAAAAGTGTTTGTGTGTAAAAGTCTCTGTGTGCAAAATCGTCTGTGTGTAAAAGCGTCTGTGTGTAAAAGTCTCTGTGTGTAAAAGTCTCTGTGTGCAAAAGCGTCTGTCTGTAAAAAGTTCTGTGTATGAAAAACTTTACAAAAATACGATGCAAACTATTGTCTTGTACTAGTCATATATTGTCATGATAAAAGTCTCTGTGTGTAAAAGTGTTTGTGTGTAAAAGTGTTTGTGTGCAAAATCGTCTGTGTGTAAAAGCGTCTGTGTGTAAAAGTCTCTGTGTGTAAAAGTCTCTGTGTGTAAAAGTCTCTGTGTGCAAAAGCGTCTGTCTGTAAAACGTTCTGTGTATGGAAAACTTTACAAAAATACGATGCAAACTATTGTCTTGTACTAGTCATATATTGTCTTGATACTACTCTTCTCGTCTGCCTACAATACATCTTTAATATATTACCTTGTAATATAGTGTCTCCATACTAACAACAGAAGACTCTGCTCCTCTACGCTCTCGGGCCATCCGTCGTCTAGTTTTAGAGGGGTATGATCCAGACCATGTGCATTTGTTGTGTTTGGGTTGATGACCCTTATTGGTTTTTTCAGCCAACAGGGATGACCCAGGAATTCGATGGAGATCTCGGGTATTTCCCGACACCTGGTGGCCACAACTGATGGTCCTTAAAAACTTGGTACGAAATCATGATGTTTGGTGGGAGATCAGACATATCTTGCTGTGTTCTGAAACTTAGATTTTGAATTCAATCTTGGATCGGATGTTACCATCAGCGAAAGAGGAAAGACACGGGACTGAACCGCGACAAGCAGGCGCAATATGTTTAGATGCTAAAGTATGTCATGAGAAGGAACAAGAAATCGTTTTTGTGGATAGTGAAGTTTCAAGTTCTGCTCCACATATGTCACTCATGTTTCGGTTACTTATGGTTAAAACGCCTGCCTGGATGATGCTAAGGTCAAAATGTTTGGGAGGTTCATAAGTGGTTCTTTATAGCAATCGATAGTTATCAATGACTTAAAACCAACCCCACCAAAAACACAACAATAAGATACAGTCAGGTTCATTGTGTCAACACATTGCGGTTCCCAACAACCAAAATTTCGGTTTGGCGGTTTTGGTCGTGGCTTTAAATTTCAAAACTATAACCAGTGACTTTCGTTGTGACATCCCGATCACTCCAAGGTTTGGAGAATCCGGAATGGGAAGTGCCCTATGATGAGAGGACGGGCTTGGAAGGGGTCTGGTAGCTGGTTGGGATTGATGGCTTTCAGTGATCCAACTGGATACCCACAGTGGGATCGCTGCTGGCAATGATGATTCCCAGATATTCACAGTGAATTTTGGGGTCCTTGTGTTCAGACAAACTAAGTGGTTTATAAGTAAGTTTTCGTCTTGTAATATGTTGTAATTCTATGTCCAAACATGGACAACTTCAGGAATTCAGGACGAATCACCACCATGATCGCGTAGTGTATATAAATATATACACACTAAATTTCATATTATATATATGTAGTACACAGATTATTTTTCGATATATATATATACACACATTTATACAATTTTATACTATACAGTTAAATCATGTACTTAAGTTACAACTGGTTGATGTTCTTTAGACTGAGAATCAACTTGTCCATGATGTTTCACCATGATCCATGGTCCATTGCCTGGTTCGCAGGAGATGGTTCAGGAAGTCCCCTGAAGTCACAGAGCTGGTGCCCCGACCATCGAAACCCTGGTAGCGGTTGGTACCCTAAAAAACCCGAAAGTAAGTTGGTTAATGGATGTTTATTCCCCGCAAATATGATAATAATAGGTTTTGACCCATCCCAAAATTGCCTGTTTCGCATGTTTGTTGCTCCTTGAATCCATTTTTGTTCGACATGTCCAAGTCTTGCCGTCTTGCCGGTCAATTCCCCACGTGTCTTGGTAATTTCCCGTTTGTTGGCGCCACTTGTTTGATCATTCTGCATCATTTTGCCAGATCTAATTCCCACGTTTTGGCAGATTAAGTCACCATGTTTTGTGGTAAAATCCCCATGTCCATTGGACAATTCCTCTTATCGTGGAAATTCAGCCTAACTATGGAAAATCAACGAACTAAATGATCGCAGGGCGGGCCAAAGCCCGGCGTCCCCAAGAGGTTTCCGTTGGTCCACCTCTCAAGGTGAAACAGCTTCTCCAAAGAGATCCCAATGTGCGTCCACGAGCACGTGAGGCTGGGCTGTATCCTGCATTCGACACCCTTGGCGATGAATTCCAGCAGGGATTTCAGTGGATTTTAAGATGGGTTTAACAATGGTTTAATAGGGGGATATGATCCAGAAATGTGATGAAATGTGTGTTTGTAATTGATAAATGGATATAAACGGTGTGTTTGGCTGAAAATTTGTTAAGTGCTATATTAGCCAATAGGACCCAATAGGATCATCCGGGGGCTGGGAATCCCTATGAAGCAACCACAACCATGTCAACGGATGGTCCTCTTGGGGCCATGGATCCTTCGTAAAAGATTGGCTGAACATGTTCTGTATGTTACAGGAGTGCAAGCGACAGATCTTTGGTCCTTACCATTTACCAACAAGAATGAAGATATGCACAGCAAATGTTGAGTTTGAACCAGCGAGAATGCAGATTGAAGTTTCCAAGTTTCCACCGACAAGTATTGCGATTTAGCGGGCAAATCGTGGATTTAAATCAACAGTATCGCAGGGCTTCAAACTGCAAATGTTTGGGTCTGTTGTAGCCAACAAAAACGTGGCACAGCCTTGCAACCCTCCTATGATAATCGATGAATCGTATGTGTAGCCAGGGTCAAACACATGTTTTTCTCCAACTGTGGGAGCATCCCAGGTGAATAGCCTATACTTTATATATATATATACGATATATATATATATATATACGATATATATATATATATATGATATTTATAATTTCCCATGTGGGCATCTTTCCCTGCCCAATTTGTCCCCGGATATGACCCTTAAAGTTAATGGAACTGACTGGAAAAAGTATGGACAAATAGGAAAGCGTGGCATTTTTCATGATGGGATCCATGAGATCTGCCCCAGGTTTTGGCAACCAACCAGTGGATTGACAAGACAGGGGAAGAACAACCGGGATGCTGCGGCTGTTTTGGCTGATGCCGGGAAACATTCTATTTTTGCAGGGCCAAAAGTCAAAGGCGGACCAGAGCATCACCCTCAAATCCATCATTTTCAGCATGGTATTCATGGTATTCTCATGTTTAGATTGAATCTATAATCCAGCTGAGCCGAGCTGCCAAGACTCTGTGCCGGGAA